TGACACCGACCGCTCGCTAAAACGGCACGCGACGCACTGAGAGAGGAGACGGGTCGACAGGATCGAAAGTCAGACTTTGTTTATAATCGGCAGATATGCCTTATTAAGACCCTCGGTGTCAGTCTGTAAATTAAGACTGTTCTTCTGTTTTTTAATATGTAGCATCTCCGAAATCAAACGCTTTCTATACGAAGGCTCCTCGTCTAATATCAGAACATTGTTCCATTGAAAATCGTGATTGTGACTCAACCTATGATCGGTGATGACAGAGCGGATAGAAACTATATGTCTAACATGATTACGATGTTCGGCAATCCTGGTTTTTAATTGCCTGCCCGTCTGTCCAAACGTAAGAAGCGTCACAATCATTACATAAAATTTTATAAACAACGTTGCTTTTCGATGTGCTGGGACAAGAATCCTTCTGGACTCTTATGTATTTGCCCATTTTGTTAGGGCTGCGGAAGGCCACCCTGATATCACTTTTGCTTTTATTCAAAGATCTAAGTTTCTCCGTATGAAGCGGAATGAAAGGCACCGTAAGCCAAAAGGTAGACTTATTAGTTAATGTCAGTCGCGGTATCGTATAATCTGTGTCTATTTCTAATCAAATTTTTGATCCTATGATTGATGGAGTCAAAAATAAAGTCTAGTGGGTAGTCATTCAGAAGTAAAATGTCAATGATGGAGATCAAATTTTTTGTATGAAACCTAACGTCAGATAATAAAAAGGCTCTGTCGACTAGACTAATGAAAAGATGGTGCCTTTTTTCTGTGTCAATGGATGATTAGAGTGGAAGTTTAAAAATCTACGTGAAAACGTTTTTTTATTGGACTATGTGTAATGTATTTAAAGCCGACTTCACATAATGCTTATTTTTTTGCCAAATTATTAGTCCGTTTTTAAACGTGCCTTGAATATTAAAAGGCCTAAATTTTCAATAATAATATTAAATATGTATCAAAAAACTTTTAAAGTATACTATGATCTGATACAACATTTTTGTGACAACAATGTGCTAGGTAACATTGCATAAATTTTTATTTATATATGAAAATACACAAAAAACAAGTTTAATTTCAAAAAGGCATTTAATTATAACATATTTATAATATATGTTATAATTAAATACCTTTTTTTAAATTTAGGTAACATTTATATTTTCTCGTATCTGACGTATCATTAACAAATTGCCTATCTAGTCCATAATTGGAGAAACTATGAAACTCACGCCTGTTGGACATATACCTACTGAAAAATACAGAATATCAATACTTCATGACAATGAACTTTTGAGATTTAGAAACAATTATCGTGTTTAACGATTGAGTAATTGAGAAATATTTCATTAATATAATTTAATTTTGTCATCACACAGATTTAAATTTGACAGAAGCGTATTGATAAAAACAATTATATTAATTAATAAGTAACAAATTAAAAATCTAACCTCATCTAAGCGATAACAAATGTAATGCAATATTTTCCAAATTAATCGGTTTTGACGTCCAATTGACAGACATTTGTCGCTGATTGATTAGGTATTTATATATTTAAAAAGAATGAAGTAGATTATATATTTCTCGAAATTATTTTATTACAAAATGTGTAATATTTAAATAGAATATATTATCTCTAAAATAAGTGGAAATTGAAAATGGCATTATTTGCACGCACGGAAATTATACGTACGATGGAGAAAAATAGCTTCTAAGACAGAAAGTCGTGCAGACTTCATTTGCTTATATTAGCACAGATCGTGTTCATTGTATAAAACTTAATATTAATATTTATATTAGGCAAATAAAGCTTTTTTTATAAAAACTTTGATATATGAGTATTTTTTGCGCTCACCGTATATATAGGATTTTGTCGATAAGAAATAAAAAAAGATTTAATATATTGTATTTATTTCAGATTATTATATGTAAATAGACGCATTCGAGTGAGTCACATTCTATATAAATATGAAATTTGCAAAATTATAATATTGAGAAACTTTAAACGAGAAAATGGTAAAAAACTTAAAAGCAAAGAATAAAATTATGCATTAGCTTTTATCATTATTTTGATATAATAACAATTTGATAATGATATTACGAAGTTTTTATGACGGTAACGGTAACATCAGAGTTGCAAGAGTCAAACGTTATTTCTAATGGGTAACGGTCACACCAGAGTGCAAGAGTCAAACGTTATTTCTAATGGGTTGGAAAAGCCAATATTGAAAAGAAATAATTATATTTATTTCTAACTAATTATATTTATTTGTTTCTTGTAACGAAAAAAACAATTTGTCCATGCGTTATAAGTTACTTATTATGTTTTTTTAGTAACCATAACTCATAATGGAACAAGTCATTTTTTAAAATGATTTTCGTAACTTTAACACAATCAATAGAAAATATAGCCAATATCAAATCAAACGGTACGAAATATTAATTGATACCGATTTCGACTTATGAATCAGGGTGAAGTCTTCTTTAACAATGTTGCAATATGATCCTAACTCATATTCGTTGAGCGATCCGTTAAAGGTCAGTCAATTATGTTATTCCAGAATTTATTTAATACTACAAAAATTGTAGTATTAATAAGACATGTAATATAAGACACAATTATACTAAATTATATCATTTCTTTAATTAAATATATTAATGATTAATAGTTTCATATCTATTTTTAATGAAAGATTTTTCATGGAGAATAATTTTCATCACTGATATCTGGGATATTTCTTTATATATATATCTATTTATTAATATTTGCAACCCTTGACATGCACTTTGATAACATTACCTGCTCTACTCTTACTGACAAAAAATTTACCCGTAAAGTAGCATATTATTGAATCAGAATTAATTAACGTTTCCATTCTTTTCAGTCCGCTATCAGCTTCTGATAATATTGAAACGAGTTTATGAAACATTATTGAAAAATTTAATAAAATAAATTAAATGATATTAAATAAATCGAATTAAAATAATGGTTAGATAATAATAAATCATTAGAATGGACAGTTTATCGCACACAGTTATACTTTCCGCTACTTTATTTTTAGATAGAGATCAAAGATACGAGATATTTTTCTGCAATATTGACGAAATGTAGATAATGTCGATACGACTAGATACATTATGTTTTATAATTTGATGTAATTAAAATCAGTCACTTAAACTTTTATTTTCTGGTTTTGCAACGTAATCAGTTCCAATGATGAAAGAATCTCAACACATTGCAGATATTTTAAATTTCATGTAGTATCAAGCGACGGTTCCTTCCTTAAAATCATGTATCCATCGATTTGCATTAATGATATGTTGCTACACAATCCTATTGATTTTTAAAGGTATTTAACTTTTAATGAAAAATCTGACGCTCTGTTTCAATTACTTACTTACTTCAGCAAGATAATATGGTGCTGTAATTAGACAATGGCCAGCTACATCATTGACATTGATCATCTCGCGGAAGAAGGTTTGCATTCCATTGTGCAGAACTAAGAGAGTCGTTTAAAAAGTTTTCAGCCTAACAGAAACAAGTATTTTTTCGTTAGAATCTGTTCTATTTTTTTAGATTCTTCTTTTAAATCGATACTTTTTCCATGCTCCCATTCCTTTAACTCGTTCAAATAATGCGAGTACTTTGCGTCTTGCTCTGCAAAATAGGTTTTTACGAATATGATGATCTCCTCATTCAATGAAAATCTCTGTTCTTTGAGCCACACTTTGAACCTAGGAAACAGAAAAATGTCACTAGGAGCCAGATCTGGTAAATACGGTAGGTATGTGATCAATCATTTCTAACCGCAATTCGAAATTAATTTTTGTCATAACAACCGTCGATGTATTTTTCGGTTCACAGCAAGCGCAGCACCCAATCCAACGCATTAACTTACGCAATTAACTTGCGCATATCTAATTCTTCAGTGAATAGAGTATATGATAAATATGTTTTTCCAATATTTTCACAGCTTCTGCTAATTCTCTATAATTTTAACAGTTGTCCAGTACAACTTGGTACAAATAACGGTATGGCGCACTTTAAATCTACTTCTTCTCAAATATATCAATAATTTAAGCAATTTAATCATAGCGATCATAGGAGTAATAGATGAACATAATTTTGTGCGATCATTGATAGCTTTTGAAAATCATAAATGAATTGAAATTTAAAATGCATTACCTATTTTTATCAAAAAGTTGATTCAAAGCCGACAAATTTATAAAAGTTTATCTAATCAAAATCAAAGACGATATTATTAAAATGATTCCATATAATATCTATTTTATTATTAATCTGTCTTTTAATATTATATAAGTCATTATTGTTACTTACTATGTTTCTTTTCAACATGTAATATCGTAATGATGGAACTAATTGATGCATTTGAACTATTTATAAATCTTCTAACTGGAAAAGAATTTTTCATTTGACATTTGATGTATTAATTTAATCCTTATTTCTTTTATTGGAAACGTAAAACGTGTTTAAAGCCCAACGTGCCTACGAGTGCCTATGTTTTTCTGCTATATTTTAAGCTAAATTAAAATCTTATCACCATTGGTTGCAGTTATGACAATGTTAGTATCGAATACGATGATTTTGACAAAAATTTAATCCGGGAAATAATCCAGCCAGAAATAATGATGTTCTGTCAGCTTAAGCTAAATATGGTCTGTTTGACATGTATTTAAGTACATAGGTACATACTTTATTGCAAAGATCTTTTTATATGCTCTATTTAGTATTTTGATAAATGTGCAGAGAAATGGGAAATATAGAGAAATGTACAAAAAATGTAAACATTTAAACATAATACATACCTTTTATTTTATACTTTTTCATAAATAATGATATCTTTTATTTTTCATTAACTAATTTTGCATATTTTGTGATAATAAAATTGATGAAAACCAATAGAAACTAGATAACTCGCTGTGGATATTGCGATTTACGTAAACAATTTTCGTTATTATTAATGGTTATTAATAATAGATTGATAAAAACAATTTCATCATTAGTAAATTTAAAATTAAATATCCATCGACATTTAATGTTTTTTTTATTAATTAGAATTGTTGTTATATATCCAACATTTATATAGTGGTAAAAGATATAATGCAGTATTTTTATAATCATTTTTCGTTGACTAATTGACAGTCATTTCTTGAGCTAAATTATTAGATATTTATTTATTTATAAAGAATAAAATAAATTGATTATTTCAAAAAATTATTTTGAACTAAAAAGAGTAATAATTAAATAATGTATATTACCTTTAAAATTAGAGATAATTTAATATGGCGTTACTTGGACGCACAAAAGTTATTCGTACAGTCAAAAAAATTAGTTTCTAAAATCAGAAACACATGCAATACTCGCTTGTTTATATCAGAACGGAATGTATTCATTGTAAAAAACAACTAATTATTATATGTATATTCAATATTACTATTAAAATAAAGCTTTTTTTATAAGAATTTTGTTCTAATTTTGTATTCTCACTATATATACAGGGTGAAACCCAGGAAATTTTTCGCTTTTGTGTATATAGATAGAGCGGACTAAACTGAGTCGAAATGTTCTATTTCGTAATTTTTGCAATAGTTAACAAGGTATTAATTACAAAAATCAGTAAATATTGGTCTTGAATAATTTTTTAATCAAATTAAATATCAACTTTATAGAAAACTGCAAGAGACAAAAATCATACATTTTCTTCTTATAAAGTTCTGAGAATTTTTTTCAGAATTTTTTCAGAATTTTTTAATACCATATGTTTTCGTGTTGGTAAAAATAAGAAAATGCAATACTAAAAAATTGATAAAAAATTCTGAAAAAACTTTTAGAGTTCTATGAGAAGAAAATAAATGAGTTTTATCTTTTGCAGTTTTTCTGTAAAGTTGATAATATTTAAATAAAAAATTATTTAAGATAAATATTTGACAATTTTTAGTAATTAATCTTGTTAAATTGTGAAAATTTCAAAATGGTACA